TTAAAGGATAGTAACTTGCTTTCACGAATAAATGTACACAGGCAGGTAAAAATTAAGATGTAGATAATAAAGGTGTCCACTTCAAGAAACTAAAGTGATTTATAAGTCACACTGAAAGGAATGAGGAGAATTTTAAATATAGAAGGCAGAAAGTTAAGGGAAAAATTCTAGACAGCGACAGGAAGGAGTTTAAGGCGGTTAAAAGTGGATCAAGTACAGGCCAGAGGTCTTAAAGAATTAGAAAGCTAACTAAAGTCAGCAACTCTCTATGTAAACTAATAAAGTATTTTTAAACAGTGCAGAAAAGGAAGGCTCTGAAGGCTGTTACCCAGGCAGGCAACACACTTGGAAGGTCACTGCAAATAAGATGTTGATATATTAGAAGCCATTAGTAAGGGGTTCTGGAGCCTCCTCAGGCTGAGGTCACTGTGGTGGAGGGTCCCTAGCAGGCCTCAGCAGAGCCCAGGTCCCCAACTGTCCACCTTGCCTCAAGCAGGAGATCCCTGTTGTGTCTGCTCCTTCTGAAGTGCTGGTGAGGTCTGAGGGCCCCAGCCTTCCAAAAGTGCTGCCCTTCCAGAGCCTGGCTCAAGCTTCAGAGCTCATGAGACTCACGCGGGGAGGGAGAGCCTCTCCCCTCCTGTGACACCCTCTGCTCCCTCCCACGGTGGCACAGGACATGTGATCACACATGGGTTTCCGCACGCTCCTCGTGAAGGGCACAACCAAGGTAGAAGTCTCTTAAGGGTTCCAGAAAAGAGTAAGAGCAAAAAGACAGATGACACAGGACAGAAAGAACATTTCTGTATGAATATGTCAAGCTACTCACAAGCTACTGGCCCACTCAGTTGGCAATGGCAGCGTGTCTCTCGTACAGCGAGGAACCCGGAGGCCTGTGACCCGTTTCCCACCCGCTTTGCCCGCCACGGTACCGCGCGCTATGCTGCTTTCAGCGCGTTCGCATCTGATTCTCAGTTTTCTTTTTTTCGTTGAAGCCATATTTGTTTTCCCTTCAGCCCGCTGATTTCTGGCCCGTCGTCAATTCTGACTGGTGCTCAGCTCAGCTTCCCTCTTGATACATGTGTGTTTCACAGACTCTCTGTATCCCAAACAATTAAGGGATGGAATCTCCAGCTTGAGATTTTAAGTGCTCCTTCCATTTTGTCCACTAAACAGTAAGAAAGCCACACAAACAAAGACTTCCGTGGCTTTCCCAGGAGAAGGACCATCTCCATAGATGTAACTGCATGATCGTGACACTAATAACAGCCCTTTCCATGAGCGGAAACAAAGACACCGAGTCCCTAGTTCCCTGATGATTTTTCAAGAGACCAAGTACATACCTTCCCAGCAGAGAGCAGAGAAACCACTAAGTCAATCCACGGGGTTACGTACATCAGCAGCGCCTTGGCGGATACTGACAGCCTCCTATACCATGGCTCCCGCCCTGTGGAGGCTGTCATTGGATCAGGTAGATTATACAAGGTGGCTGACCAGTGGGTGCAGAGATGCCAAAGCAATGAGTCCAGGGGAAGATTGGGACTCACCTGTGACCGTGGGCGCAGGTGGCTGAACGCTTGCTCCTCACTCATAAACCAGAATTCATCATGATACCTACCTCTGAGGGGACATGTGTGTATTCATTGGGCTCATCTATATCAAGGATGACTGGCACATGGTGTTCATCCAATGAAGGAGGGGTGTGCAGAAATCCACGTGTGATCACGCATCCGGTGCCACCGTGGGAGGGAGCAGAGGGTGTCACAGGAGGGGAGAGGCTCTCCCTCCCAGCGTGAGTCTCACGAGCCCTGAGGCTTGAGCCAGGCTCTGGAAGGGCAGCACTGTTTGAAGGCCGGGGCCCTCAGACCTCACCAGCACTTCAGAGGGAGCAGATGCAACAGGGACCCACTGCCCGACACAAGGTGGACGGTCGGGGACCTGGGCTCTGCTGAAGCCTGCTAGGGACCGTCCACCACAGTGACCTCAGCCTGAGGAGGCTCCAGGAACTCTCACTGCTCACTTCTAATGTATTGGCATCTTATTTGCAATGACCTAAGCCTTAAGAGCCTTCCTTTTCTGCACTATTTGGAAACATTTTATCAGTTTACATAGAAAGTTGCTGATTTTACTTAGCTTTCTAAGTAAAGCTACGTGGGTTTCTAATGGGTTTTAAATGAGGGTGCAGCCAGTGTAGACCAGTCGGGAGGGCTGGACTGAGGGCACTGGACCCAGGAGAGGGGACAGGGCTGAACTGTGGCTCTGCTTGATGGCAACAATGTGACCAATCTAATCTCTGTAGCTCAGTGGTCCCCAAGCGGGGGTGATTTTGTCCCCCAAGGGACATTTGGCAATGTCGGGAGACATGTTTGTTCTGGCAAAGTGGGGAGGTATACGCCTGGCATCTACTGGGTGGGGGCTAGGGATGCCTGTCAGCACCCTGCAATGCACAGGGTGGCCCCCTACAGCCACGAATTGTCCAGCCCCGATGTCACCAGTGCTGCAGTGAGGTGCTAGCCCTGGATGAAGCTGTTGTTCTCTGGTGAATGTATTAGCAGGTGGGTTTTCCCAGACACTACTCCCAGAGATGCTCAATTAAAATGTTTGGGGTAAGTTACCTCCTGCCCCCCACCCTTCCCACCCATGTACATAGCCCACAGGTCAGAATTAGGTGGGCTCTGGACACACTTAACAAACTGCTCTCCAACGTGGAGGTTAGCCACGACACATATGTAACAATGGACAGGCTTTGCACACTGAAGTTTTCCAAACCTTTCAAAGCGCCTGACCACAACAAGTCCTAAAACAGTCCTTTAAGTTCAGCCTTATTCCCTTTTTACGAACAAGGAGGCAGAAATACTGGGAGTTTCACGTGCTCATGGTACCGATATCCGCCAAGTGGCAGAATGAGGACTTGAACCCAGAACCCAGCTCAGTCCCTGGTTGGAAACGACAGATGTTTGTTGATTGGATGAATGATTGAATACATGAATAAATAAATTCAAGCCCTCTAACTTCAGATTTCATTTTCTATCCACTCTTGCATGATACCTCTTTAAGTATCTCATAAGGTGCTTAGAAGATGACGTAATGAAATTAAACTTGTATGAGTTTTGATGAAAAAAATATGAGCAAAGACTTGCTTTTTTTGTACGACTGACTTTAAGGTTGTTGAGACATTCAAATCCAGTAATGGAAAACTGTTAGTATATGAGCCTCGACTTTCAAAGAAAGGGAAGAATGATCTGTTGAGACTTGAGCTGATAATACGTGATGTTACTAAACAGCACAGTGTTTTCTATTTCCAACAATTGTTTATTTAGTGAAACTGCTTAGGCTATAAAGGGTTAAAAATCAGGGCTCATGAAAACAATCCCAGGGACCAAGAATTTTCAAATAAGCACTTTAGAAGTTTGCCCTCTGGTGGACAGAGGGGAAAATGCAAACAAAGTCAGGGAAATGTGTGGTGAAGTCAGGCAGCGTTTCCCTTCCTGTTTGTCTGAGGTTCTTCTCACCTAGGAAACAGGGTAGCCACTGTCATGGGCTGGACTGTGTCCCCCAAAGCTTCATGTGTTGAAGTCCTAACCCCTAGTTCCTCACAATGCGACTGTATTTGCAGGTAAGGCCTTTAAAGAGGTGACTACATTAAAATGAGTCTGTGAGGGTGCGTGGGCCTCAATCCAATCTGACTGGTGTCTTTTTTTTTTTTTTTTTTTTTTTTTCTGAGATGGAGTTTCAGCTTTTGTTGCCCAGGCTGGAGTGCAGTGGCGTGATCTAGGCTCACTGCAACTCCACCTCCCGGGTTCAAGAGATTCTGCTATCTCAATCTCCCGAGTAGCTGGGATTACAGGCACCCACCACCATGGCTGTCTAATTTTTGTATTTTTAGTAGAGACAGGGTTTCACCAGGTTGTTCAGGCTGGTCTTAAACTCCTGACCTCAGGTGATCTGCCTGTCTCGGCCTCCCAAAGTGCTGGGACTACAGGCGTGAGCCACTGCATCCGGCCTGACTGGTATCTTTATAAGAAAAGATTATGGCCAGGTGCGGTAGCTCACGCCTGTAATCTCAGCACTTTGGGAGGCCAAGGCAGGTGGATCACTTGAATTCAGGAGCTGGAGACCAGCCTGGCCAATGTAGTGAAACCCCAACTCTACTACAAATACAAAAATTAGCCAGGCATGGTGGCATGGGCCTGTAATCCCAGCTGCTCGGGAGGCTGAGGCAGGAGAGTCACTTGAACCCAGGAGGCGGAGGTTGCAATGAGCCAAGATCATACCACTGCACTCCAGCCTGGGCAACAGAGTGAGAATCTGTCTCAAAAAAAAAAAAAAAAGAGAGAGAATTACATAGAGACCCCAGGGGCCTGTGCACAGGAGACACGTGAGGACACAGTGAGAAGGCGGGGCGGCCGTCTGTTAGGCAAGAGTGAGGCCTCGGAAGAGACCAACCCTGCAGACTCCTTGATCTTGGACGTCCAGCCTCCAGCACTGGGAGACAATCAGTGCCTGTTACTGAAGCCCCCAAGCGGTGGCATTGTGTCATGCGAGCCCTAGTGGACTAATGCAGCCACCAATCAGGAACAAGCTTCCTTGTTCCCTGACAAAGAATTTAAGCATTCAGTGCATCATCAAGCATTTATTCTTTAAACTTGCGTCTAATCCATGAAGGGGCCTCATTGTGGTTAACTGCAGTCTTGTCAGATGAAATCCAAACTATGCATCCATGTGAAAAGGTCAGAGCCTCATCATGGAGCTTACTAGTAGCACACTGTTGATTCAAAATGAGCATTTGATCACCTGTCTGCCCCCCTTTGGATTCCTAGTAGGACTATGTCTCTATTTGTTAAAAATTTTAATTTAAAAAATTTGAAAGCTGTCATTTGTTTCTTATTGAAAAACTTGTATACAAATGTTGTAGAAAATGTAGACCAGAAAAAATAAGAAAATGAAATCTAATGCGTCCCCTGCAATCACAGCTGATTATGTTAACATTTGTTATTTCTTATTCACAGTGGGGTATTTTTTTCTTTCTGTGACTATAGATGTACAGTTTGGGTTCATTTACAAAAATGGGACCGTCTTACACATATTGGTTTTAACTTTTTCTCACCAATAATCTGTCATAAACAACTCTCTACATCATCAAATATTGTTCTGTAGGACCATTTGTATGGCTTTTAATCTCATATTGCAAGAATATATCTTAATCTTCCACAGATGGATACTTAGGGCCTTTCTAAGTTTTATTACCATCCTTGCTATTGTAGAAGACAGTGTCATGGTGAACAGCTTGGTAGCCTTTGCTTATATCCATGATTATTTTCTTGGAATACTAAATTTTGATTTTTCATATTTAACTTTTACCACTGGTAAATGAGGAGAAATCCGTATATGCCCAAGCAATACATGATCTAAACCAGACAGTTAGCAGAAACACAGTGATCGTTGGCGAGGTTCGAAAGTATTCGCCTTTTAGACTGAATTGTGAGGATGATGGCAATTCTTGGAGGATGCCCGGGAAGTTAATCAGCAGGGAGGAATGAGGAAGAAGGCAAGGAGGACATCCACGCCTTTCCATAGCTCGGCTGAAAATGAAGCTGGCAGAAAACAAGCCAGGAAATAAAAAGTCAAGAGAGCTAAGGAGAGGAGAGCATGCTTGTTAAAAGGAGTGAGAAGGCCGTGTTTGGAAAGCTGCTATGACTGGCATGCAGAGCGCTCTGCTCCCCGCAAGGCTGGCTGGCACGCCTGCTGTCCACCGTGTGCTGTGTACTTGGAATATTTAGCTGGTTTGCCGCCATTGCCCAGAGCCCCTGCCGCTGATACATGTGCAGGAAAATAAGAAGTATAACACTAGACTTGGCAAAACATGAAAAGGAAGCAAAGCCGCCGACAGAAGAAAATTCCTCACACTCTACAAAGTAAAACAAATAAATTCGAGTGTTCTGTTTCCATCTCTGATCGCTTCATTAACATGGAAAGTTCAAAATTAACTGCAATGGACATATATCCAGGGTGCCCAGCCTAGGACATTTTTTTATCTACCACTTTGGCCAGAGAGGAGTGTGTGTGTGTGTGTGTGTGTGTGTGTGTGTGTGTGTGTGTGTACTCACGCATGCGCACGTGTACGTGCGTGTGCACGCGTGTGCTTTAACTGTATTAGCCCTTAGAAGAGTGAAGCTTATTATAACAGAGCTGGGCCAAGACATCTATAGTGAAGATCATACAAGTGATTAGAAAAAGTTTCTTGGGTATGCAAAGCAAGCACGTTCTAGGAGAAGGTTTCAAGCCGCACATCCTGGTGCCTGCCTTGCTGGCCTGGTCCCAAGCCTCTTCTAGCATGATGCCCTCAACACTTCCTTGCCAGCCTCTGTGTCTGTCTGTGAACCCTTCTGGCGACTTGTGGTAAACTTTTGGCCCCTGACCCTTCCCTCCCCAACTCCGAACACAAGCCTCCAGCATCTACTTGCTTATGGGAGCCTGTGCGGGTCCTGTTGTCCCTGGGCCCTGGCCCCACACCACTCTGGCATGGTAACCAGCAGGCAGGTTTACAGTGCGAGAAACACAATCCTCAGAATTCGATTGGCCCTGAATCCAATTTTAAGAGATTGATGTTGCTGTATAATCCCGCCATGGTATTCAGGATTTTGGACATCCAGGTGGGGAATGCAATGGTGAGCGCAGAGATGTTTCCTTGAAAGGAAGGACTCTTGCCTGAGAAGGAAAACCTGTGGCTGCCTCTGACCCAGTGGGTCATCTTGGGATGGGTGCTGTGGTCCCAGGAGGCTGTGTGGAGCAGGTCACCACCATCATCATCATCATGGAGGACTTTGGTGACATGAAGCTGAAGTCCACAGCTCAACGGGGACCTGTGATGAGGTTGGATACCCATGAAGAGTGAGAAGCAAATTAAAGCCATGACGAGATACTAGTACACACTCACCAGGATGTCTAAATTAAAATAATAGATAACAAGTGCTGGCAAGGATGTGGAGCAATAGGAAGCCTCGTAAATTGCTGATGGGAATGTATTAAAAGGAATGGCAAAAATTGCTATTACTTTTGTACCAACGCAGTAAGTTGATACAACCACTTTGGAAAACTCCTTGGCAGTGTTTATCTGCAGCCGATTGTATGCATAGTCCACGACTTAGCAATTCCACTCCTAGGATACACCCATCTAAAGTGCATGCATTGTGCACCAAAAGACATGTACAAAATTGTTTGCAGAAGCACAATGTATAATTGTCCAAACCTAGAAACTTATTTGCCCATGAAAATTTGAATCAGCCAATAAAAGGCGGGATGTTCTCATAATGGAATGCTATTCATCTGTGGTTCTCAAAAGTCTGGCATCAGCCAGCCTGGGCAACATGGTGAAACCCCAGCTCTAGAAAAAATACGAACATTAGCCTAGAGTGGTGGCATGCACTGATAGTGCCAGCTCCTCAGGAGGCCGAGGTGGGAGAATCGTTTGAATCTGGGAGGTCGAGAATGCGATGAATCATGATTGCACCACTACACTCCAGCCTGAGCGACAGAGCAAGGCCCTGTCTCAAAAAATGAAATGCGCATCAGTATCACAGGGCAATCTGTTAGCATGCCCTGGGATTTCATCTTAGACCTCCTGGGTCGGAAATTCTGGGGCTGGGGCCAGCAATCTTGCATTTTAGCCAGCCCTCCAGGTGCCTTTGGTGCAGGCTAAAGTTTGAGAACCTGCTATATAGAAACAAGACTGAAGAAACTAAAACTCCAAGCAATAATATGAATCTCTGCCATAATGTTGAGCAAGAGATGTTAGACTCAAAAGAGTGCATGTTGGAAGATTTCGTTTATACGAAGCTCAGAAATAGGCAGAACTCTTGGTGCTGCTAGAAGTCAGTTATGGGTCAGGCCTGTGAGGCACCTAGAGAAAAATGCAAGGGGCTAGACGTGCTTGACCTTGAGAGGGGAGGCCTCCTAAACTGTGCACCCCAGGTGCCTCATCCTGTCCCAATCTTGGTCAGAGTGGTGATTATTCTGGATGGTGTGGGCTAAAGACTTCACACACACTTGATGGTGAGCCATCCAGGGTAATCTGTGAGGACATCCAAGCATTAATATTGTTCTGTGTCTCCACCTGGGTGCTGTATGCACCAGGTAGATATTCTTCAACCTGTACACATATGGCTGATGCACTTTCTGTATATAAATGCAGAATAAACTTTCAATAAGATTAAATACATATCCAATGGAATGGTGCCCTTATGACCTTATTTCAGTGATGAAAGGCTTTGTAGTCATTGCTTCCAGACCATCATGGGTCGTGTGTGTGTGTGTGTGTGTGTGTGTGTGTTTGTGTGTGTGTGCGTGTGTGTGTGTGTTTTAATGGGCTTAGAAAATAGAAAAAATAATTCAGGGTCAAATCTGGTAGATTATATATAAGATTTTTTCTTTTTCTAAAAAACGACATGGGGTTTCTGATGTGGCTTAAATGGAATCTAAAGGCCATTGCCAAGAGAAGGGAGTTCCAAATGTGCTCCGAGTGTGGGAAAAGCTTTGGAATGAGAGTATAACCTCCCAAGGGGCTTCTCTGAGGGGCCCCTCCATGAAGCCTGCGATTTCTGGCACAGGCACTAATAGACCAGCGAGTGAAACGTCCCCACCCAGTACCACCTGCCTTCTCAGAAAGTGGTGGTTTCTATTTGACTCAGTACTTCTATTGGACTTCATGCCTTGGTGAGCTGTATGGATGGCTTGTTTTACCTGTGTCGTTAAGTGCAAAGGGAAACGTCTCCCAGGCCGTGCTGCGAGCAGCTGGTCTGGAGTCAGTGACAACACACAGAGGAAGCCAGCTCTCGGGAATCCAAAGCATTCTGTGCAGACTCTGAAGGAAACAGGAACAGATCATTCTAGCACCTCCCCTGCTGGATGTGGGGTGACTGTGATGGAGGAGAGGGCTGTTGGCCAGAACAAGCCCCCGCTGACTCCCGACACTGGCCCCGGGGCCAGGCAGTGGTTGATTTCTGAATAAAGTTGCCCCTGGAAGCAGAGTGACAAATGGCTCCCTAGCTCTGACTCTGAATGAAAAAGCCGGAGTGGCACAGCAAAGCGCTGCAGCGTCCTGTGTGACGGAAGAGGGCTGGAAGGAAGAGGGCTCAGCCCAGCCTGCCCGCTGCCCTCTCTAGGTTCTCACCTACCCTGGGACAGCCCCCGCCCCCGACCCCGCTGCTGACCCCACCAAGGCCAGCAGGGACGTGGTGACCCAGTGCTCCTGCACAGGAAATATAATGACCTAACCAGGCCTGGCAGAAGGACCGGTCAATTTGGTGAGCGGCCAATGGAGAATAGCTCTGTCTCTCTCAGCATTACTTCACTGTCTAAACTCCCCTGGAATTCTACTGGATACCTAAGTATTTCAACAAATGTGCTAACCCCCTCTTCCTCTAAGGTAAGCAGCTGCTGTCATTCAGTTCAGCATACAGCTGCTTATGTGAGGAGTCAGTCTGGTTGCTCTGTCTGCCAGTCTGTGTAGCAGGGGCTACCTCACTCCGCCCATGGAGCCTCATCCTCACCCAAGCCCCACCCCTCCCCTGGGGTGTGGCCACTGCCTCCTTTGTTCCCATCCTTGCCCCCTTTCCAACCCACCTCTCCTCCAGGAGAAACCAGAGCTCCACCAACACAACAGCTGGATAACAGCCCTCCTGAGCCCATGCCTCCTGAGCCCACCCCTCCTGAGCCCACCCCTCCTGAGCCCCCCCCTCCTGAGCCCACCCCTCCGAGCCCCCCCCTCCTGAGCCCAGCCCTCCTGAGCCCACCCCTCCTGAGCTCACCC